AATAAAATTAAGTCTCTTATAAATTATGGAAGCTGTATAAATTAAGATCCACTCCTTCCTTACTTATCAATGAGCTATAAGTTCTGTTTCAACAAACTTATCCATTAATTGTTTGCTCGTGTAGAGATCTAAAACGACGGCAAACAAATGCTTAAACACGTTGATATCATTTTTATTAAATTTATAAAATATCACTTTGTATAAGTTAAATATAAACGAAAAGTGGTGAGCTCACCGTATAATTATTTATTATGTTATTCATATGAACTGTGAACGGGGTAGCTCAGTGGGTGAGCACTGACTTCCAGAACTCCAGGTCTCAGGTTCGAGTCCGGCTGATGACTAGTAATTTTTTATTAGCCGTGGATCGACCCTGTGGCCCGAAGACCCTCCCGGGACACACCTAGCCTCTGTGAAGCGGGTACTCTTAATTAAGTAATTAATTGAAGGCGAAAACCTAACGGTTGAGCGTCATATCGGCCCAATCACCGCTATGGCCAATCAACATTGGCGGCCTCGTAACACTACTTTCTGACATTATCCTGCACCCAAGATCCTTCACGGGTTGTAGTGGTACAGTTTTTATTTTATTTTTTTTAATGTACAAAAATCGCATTACAGAGTAGGGACGAAAAAAAGGTCAAATACGACAACTGTACAGAGCTGCGCATGTATGAGTTTTGTAACTGCAGTAGTATAGCGGCCCTGTTAGACCTCCTGAAAGTACCTTTTATCATTGAACTTAGTAAATTACTTTTTTCTCAAGAAAAGGTTGTCTACTTTACGATGGTGTACATAGAATATAATTATTTTGAACAGTTTTCGAGCAATTCCTTCTTGTTCAGTAAAAACGTGACCTCTGTACGAAAAACATAAAGCTGGTCTTAACTCATTTTCCCCGTCCACGCATCAAATGATTTTTTTTGTTGAAAATTTTGTCTAGAATGGCCTCCTATAGATTGTAAGATAGTCGATAGCTTGGCGGTATAAAAACATGAGAAATGTTGGTTCTCCAGATGATTCGAGGCTCCAGTAATTACGGTCATTAGTGATCTGCGGCCCAACCAAGAAGCACTCTCGTCACAAAGCCACTAATTGGTGAAGCCCTATTATTTAGTGGCCTGGACCCTATCCAACTCAGCTACAAAGACTGGCCAAGTCTTGAAAATACCGTTGGGTAGGAATCTGTTAGCCTTAGGAATAATAGATGAATAATAATGAATAATTTTCTAAAATAAAAATAATAGTCTCTTCTGAAGAGTATGAATTGTAGGAAGTTTAACGTTCCTCAGTTTTACGACGGTATGTGTTCAGTTTAGTTGTTACAAGAAAAACAATGAGAATGCCCAGTATTTTAAAGGTATTTTTGGCTGGCAACATTTTCTTACGGTTTTCGACAAGACCACTTGTATTCTATACCAAAACGATTTATGTCCAGCTTTTTTATTTATTATTGATTTTCAAGTATTTTTTTCCATCTGTAAAATATCTTTATTTATTTCTTTTGAACTAAATATTTAATTTATTTTTTTATTATTTATTTTATTTATTTAAAATATTTTTTTTATTTTTTTATTTTAATGGAATTTACAACTGTATTACATAGAGAATACAATAAGTTAATGAGAAATTGGTAACATGGCATGTACAACATGAATAGAAACTACCCATTGGTAGAACTCAAATTAAAGTTCTATATTAGAAGATCCCGAGGCCATCTTCTTTTTAGACGCCTCGGAGGGTTATCAGGGATCGAGGAGGAAGCAAGGTTTGAAACGAGAGGATTCGGATGGTTCTGCAGTTTGTTATGGAAGGAAAGGTATCTGGATTGGGCCAGATCGGAAACATATGGAACATTAAGGTCTTTATAGATGATTTTATTTGTGACAAAGTAAGGAGCGTTCAGGATTTTACGAAGGATTTTGGATTGTAAGGATTGGATACGAGAGGATTTCGATGGTTTAGTGGAGCCCTAAAGCTCAATTCCGTAAGTCCAAATAGGTCTTATTATTGTCATATATACGAGTCGTTTATAATTGATTGAAAGCTTAGATCGTTTGTCTAGTAAGTGCTGCAGTAGTCGAAAACGTCGGGATTTAAAATATTAAAATAAATATTTTAGTTACCTGCCTTCCGAAAACAGTCATTCTTTGAAAAAATATTACGCACACGGAACAGAAGTAAAAGTTTTTAAATTAAGCAGAATAGATTGATCACACTGTGGCAAGTACTAACAGGGGGACAAAGGAACTTAAAATGAAAACATGAATATTTATCTCAATTTCCAAGAAGTAGAAAATTATTTGAAGAAATGTAATCTGTCCGTCAGTTTTTCCCCTTCCAGGAATCCGATTGAAGTTGAAATAGCTCCAAATGTTTCTTCTTTTAATTTACTTTTTACTTATTCGCTTAGCGATGCGTAAAGCTTTCGAGAACGGCGCTGAAAACTTTAGGAAGTAAAAAGGATAAAAAAAAAAAAACCTTAAAGAAAAAAGAGCAAGTTGATTAGAATGTAGAAGTTTCCCCATGCTTAGCAAAGTATTAAAAAGGGATTGGACTTTTTTAGAAAGAGTAATAAAAATAATTGTCGTAGACACTTGAGAAATAACGTCTGAAGTATTTTTTTAAAGAAGCTTTTTCCAGCTCAATAATGAATAGAGTTAACATTAAAAGACTAAAATTTAATAATGACTTGAACTTGAAGTATACAATTTTCTTTATACAATTTAAATATTTAAAATAAATCGTTTGAAGTATTAGAATTATTTCCACAAAAAATTGAAACATAAATATTTTTGGAAGACGTATTTATCAACAAAAATATTAATACATAACATTCATTTGCTGCAACAACATAACAACTCGAATACATGATTTCTTAGGAGATCCTTTTGAAGTTTAAAATACTTATTTCTGTGAAACTATTTATAATACAAAATAAATAAAATACACAATTGATCTGAGAGGTCAGAAACGACAATCTGCTTGTGAAAATTTTATATTATTGCAATTTCTGCTATGCTGTAAACTAAAATATCATGATGAGTTAAATGTGTAACTGTTTTAGTTTACTACGGCTTTGTAAAATAAATTAAAAATAGATTTATGATTTAACTAAACATTATTAATAATGTTTAATAAAATAATGTTGTTGTTTTTTTTGAGGTTTTATTTATTTATGTATCTTAATGTCGTAAAGTTCTAAAGAAAATAATGCTCCAAGAAGATCCTGTGTTTCTGATGTTTACAAATTTTAATATTTCATCTTTATTTCATTCATTAATTTCCCCACAGTAACAAAGATGAAAACAGGGTCATATTCGTAAAATGGTATTAATATATTTTTTTCTCATATTTACTTAATCTAACAATAACACACATTTGTAGTTTTGACTAAAACCAAACATATTTCACACATCATCTCTATTCATATTAATAGAATATAAAAAAGTAATTGTTCGGCGATCATAAAGTACAGTATATGCCATATACTATATGACGTTAAATATTATAATGCAGTAAAAAGTTGAGATTTTCAAACAGGATGATATAAAAAAAAACAGGAAACATATTTTTTCCGAAAGGACAGCCAAATGTTTTTATTTCCATTTCATTCCATTTTTCAGTTAATTAAAACTATGTAACATTGTAAAATGTAATCGATAAGTTGGATTTTTCTCTTAGATAGAATATCTTTATAGATTAAATGAAAACAATAAAATAAAGTACTTTTCAGTCTTCTAGATAAAATTTGTACTTGTGTGCTATTACTTCAGTTTTTATTGCAGCATTACTTAAAAGGGTTCACATATGGGGTTGGGTTGATTGAATGACCAATGAAATCTAGGAACTGTTTTTTTTTTTATATTGTTTTGTTACTAATTAATTTTCTGGTTCAACCATCACTGTCATTCCAACTCGTAATAGAACCAATACAAGTAAATTTCAATTAAATGAGATAATTACTATTACGTAAAACTCACTTTTAAACGAACTATAAAATGTATTGTTCTTCATAAAATACTAATTAAAGTGATACCATTCCACAATGTATAGTACTTCTTTGCAAGAACTACCTATAGAATACTGATATACGATAATGCTAAGACTATTTAGTACCAAGAATTTTAATAATATTTAATCATTATTAGGAATTTTATCATTACTTTTATTGCATGTCAATTATTTAATGAACTAATACTCAATGTCCTTTGTACTCCAAAAGGACAATAATATACAATAATATAATAGTAAAATACTCTTTATTTCGGCTCTTAGAAGGTTTTTCTCATGTCTATAAATTATTTGCCAAATAATTTCACTTCATTGAATATTTTGTTAGGAAATGTTTAGAAAGGGTAAAAATTGGGAGAATTTCATGAGTACAGATTTTTTTTTTTTTACTTCACATATGCACCTTCTAACATATTTTTGACAATACGTAAATCGTCTAACAATGTGAATAATGGCAAATCAGATATCGCAGGGTATAGTATTAGTAGGGTATTCCCTGTCTTGATGGAGTTTTCCTACTTTACGTTAAAGAAGGAGGTCTTTCATCCAGTACCTTTTCAGATTCTTTATAGTTATGAGCGTTTAAATTGTAGCTATATTCCATATTAAGTCTGATGCTATGCTATGTTTATTAAGATATCATAAAAATATTATGTAAAATGGTATGAAACCATTGGTAAAGAGTTTTTGTTGACCAGATACAAAAGTGTTCATGAGTATCCATTAAATTCATTAAACATAACTTTTATGGTTCCTTTCAATTCTTTTTAAGAAACGTTAAGTAATGATTTTTATAATCAATTTTAAAAAATTGATACTTTACTACCAAATATTTGTTTATAACAATTCTTGGAAATATTAATAAGTATACATTAATAACTTCATACATACAACCATATGCATTTCAAGATTTTTTTTTTTTATTTAGTTCAATTGATTGAGTGAAGTTGAAAATGAAGGAAGCAAAAAAAAATACACAACGGTTAGTGATATAGTTTTATTGTATAAAATGTTCAAATTTTTTAGGTAAAAATTAAATCGTTCTGATAAGTGTAATTCTATAGTAGTTGGAAAATTGGTGGATTTATTTGGAGTTTAATTAGCTTCCAGAAGTCGGTAGTAGTTGTAAGGAAACTGAAATAAAAACGAAAAATATTCATTTAAAACAATAATATGATATTTAATAACAATTTATAACTAAAATGAAGAAGTAATAAGGTTACTTACCCCTGATATTGTGTATTGGTTTTCACTCTGGCTCTGGTATTGGTTAGCATTAGGACCCTGGTATTGATATGGGTACTGTCCTTGGTACTGATATGGGTACTGTCCTTGGTACTGATATGGATACTGTCCTTGGTACTCATATGGATACTGTCCTTGGTATTGGGACGGGTACTGTCCCCGGTATTGATATGGGTATTTTCCCTGGTACTGATACGGGTACTGCCCTTGGTATTGGAAAGGATACTGTCCTTGGTATTGATATGGATACTGTCCTTGGTATTGATATGGATATTGTCCTTGGTATTGATATGGATACTGTCCTTGATACTGGTATGGGTATTGTCCTGCATACTGGTTTGGGTATCCTCGGTTTTTATAAGCATATGGTCCTTGGTATTGAGTAGAATGAGGTTCCTGATTTAATTCATATTGTGGAGGCTCTCCAGAATAGTACTGCTGACCGTTCTGGTTGTATTGGAACTAAAGATAAAGAAAATATTAAATTGAAACGTTTAATGATTTTATTTTATAAAAAATCATTTAAACTTAATTTATCTTACCTCAAAATTTTGTTCACCAGTAGCCAAAGCCAAAAAGGCAGCTAATAAGAAAACTTTGAAGAACATTTTACCTTTGAACAAATATAGACAAATACTAATGAATTGTCCCTATTTTTTAATTATTTATTTACCCTACCTACATGATACTGTTATAAAGATTTGTAACATAAATCTTTATTGGGAAGTTATAGTAGTTTCATTATTAGTCTTAACATTTAAATAAAATCAAGTGGTTTTTGAATGTATACATATTTATCCAAAGTTCTCAAAACATGATTCGATACTTACGAAATGCTGATAATTTGAGGCGATCGGCTCAAATGTAACAACCCAAAAACTTACCACATTTTATACTATCCAAGTAATTAAGGTTATCATATATTTTCTTTGCAAAGAAAAAAATGCGACCACAATTCACTAATGATATTCTGATAACATGATTGCACTTTAGACGCCTAATTAATTTCCGATTGCTTTAATAAAATCAACAGTCACTTAAGATTTCAAATTATGCAATCGTTCGCGAATTCGTAACGTATTTTATTAAACCCATCGTTTGAATTATATAAATAAAAAATAAAAGGTTCGAAAGGGAGGACAAATAATTTCCATTGGAAAACTTAATTTGGGGATGATAAAAAAGTACGTAGAGGCCCACTTGTACGATTCATTCTCCCTCTCCTACTTTACCAGTACAAGTAACACATCATATTATCCAATCGTCTGTAATTTATATTGTAGTTTATGAAACTAAAATTATAGTGAAAACATAATATTCTGGCTCATTTGATTAAATTGAACTAAAACAAATTCATTGAGATATTTTTGAAGACTACCAACAAATAAAAACTTATTAAATTAATCTTAACTTGTTCTGGGACCTTTTTATTATGACATAATTTAATGGCTAAGAAATTATTTTTATTCAATATATTTTTTTATACATATTAAAAAATATATTGAATAAAAATAATTTATTATTTAAATTAAAGAAAAAAAATGTTTTTCTCAGATGTTTTGTTTGAATTAATTTAAGAAAATATACATTTTTTTTAATCACTGTTCAGAATACGCTCACTCTGTATAGATTATTAATCTATCGGGAAAAATATCTTTTTCTCTAGTTTTTGTTTATATAGTTTTATTTATGTTTTTATTTATGTTTGGTCCTTGATTTGAGCATATGTCTATAAAAAAAACAAAAATCATACTCTTGCAAAATTAATGTTAAGATTATTAATGATTGTTGCTATTGTTGATATACCAGTTTATATTTAATATTGTAATATGAGAGGTATGGCTTAAATGAATAATTTATTAAGTCCTGAGTTTTTTTTTACTTATTGAGTTAACCAGTGAAGTAGTTGAGGGAGAAGCGCAGAGAACTCCTAAGCTTCGCTTTTCCCTCCACTAGGGGGGATGGAAGACAAGATTTGTTCGGAGTTTCCCTGGCTGAGTGTTAATTGTATATAGTGTATATAGGTATGCTTGTATCTCAGATGTTCATTTTACTTTTATTTATATTTTTACTTACTTATGTGTATATATTTTTTTTATATATATTTTTTCACTCTCCTTATCATATTTTATTTTCTATGTATTCTTTTGTTATTACTTTATTTATTTATATATCTGTATTTACGGTTTGAATGTACTCTCTGAATTCTATTATAAGTGTCCTTAACTGAGATAGATTGTAATATTTCTCAAAAAAAAAAAAAAAAAAAAAAAGAAAGAAAAGATTATTGAGTAATATAACATTCGGTCACATGGACGATAATTGTAGTGAGATAAAACTAAATTCACACTATATGAACAGAAAATATTTTAAAAAACAGAAGCAAAATAACAACTAAATAATAATAAAAAAAAGTAGAATATATCCAATAAATAAAAATAAAATAGCTTAAAAATAAGTTTCGTCAATTAATGTTTATAGTTTCGTTATATACCAATGACGTAATAATAGTTTAACTTTTATATTTAATAATAGGTTGCTTTGAATTATTTTTTTTTTAAGTAATAGAATAGTAAATAAAAAAAAAAAAAAGGACTTCTATCCTTTATACCGTGGTACTAACTCAGTTATTGACGGAGGAAAATTAAAGTACCTGAGGAAAGACGAGATATGGTGATGTAAAAATAAAAAGGGGACGTAAAAAGTAAATGGGGCCTGAATTGTGGCCGGGAGGGACGAAAGGGGGGGAGGGGCTATAGACTATGTGACCAGGACCCGTGCAAATCTCATTTGCTGGGGTCTCGGTCCCCGACGGACTAGTTTACCATCCTCCGATTGGGGTCCGCACAAAAGAACTATATTAAGGGCTCCATGGAGTTTGAATTGGAGCGTATAACTCAATTACCAATACTAAGATACATTTTACTGCTGTACATAAATAAAGTAAAACCTCTCAGTAGCGGACACCTATGGGGAATCGAATATCATCCGCTTTAGAGAAATTGAAAGTAAAACATTTAAAATACAATACAAATTATAAGATTTAATTTTTATTTTATAAATCAAATATTATGAAAATTAAATCATTTATTCATTAAAATAGCATTTTTTATTTTTAAATTTATAGTAATTTTTTTTTTTGTTCTTTTCTTAGCCCATTATATGCTTTCTCAAAAAGCTCCTTTTACTGTATTTATTTTGCATTTTGAGGAGGTTTAAGTTCGTATTACAATTTATGTTATTTCATTATTCCTAATTTCTAATTAGGCGATTGGGCTCACTCCCCTTTTTGTGATAAACTTAAACATAATTTTTTTATTATAAATCAAATTATTTAAATATAATTACTTAACAGTATTTAATTACGTAAATTATTTATTGAGAAATATTACAATCTGTCTCAATTAAAAACATTTATAACAGTATTCGCATTCACATTCACAGGCTACGTACAATAAATTAAAATAAATTAAACACAAAAATAGTAATAATGATTGGGCTCACCGCATTTTTTGTGATGAACTTAAACTTATTTTTTTTTTTATAAATCAAGTTATTTAGATTTAATTACTTAAAAATATTTAATTTCCTAAATTTTTTATTGAGAAATATTACAACCTGTCTCAATCAAGAACTCAAATTATATCAGCGTTCAGATTCACATTCACACCCTATGTACAAAAAATAAAAATAAATTAAACTGAAAAATAATAATGCAATAAGTAAATGTACATAAACAAAAGAAACTAATCTAATAAACTAAAATTAAAGGTAAATTTATTTTTCATACATCTAATCATCGTTAAGGTGGTCCAGAATGTTCAATGCGACTGAATAAGAAATTGGTTAAATTTATTAATGATTGGTGAAATTTGGTATTGCTCTCAGCAATAAAACTCTTTATTTTTATTTTTAACTCTTCTAGAAGTCTTGACGCCTCAATCTTTGCAATGAAGTTCCTTTAGCTAGTTTTCGTAACTAATTTTTTTTTTGTAACAAAAGTATATATATTTTATTATATATATATATATATATATATATATATATATATAGATATAATATATATATTATATATATATATATTATATATTATAATATAAATTGCCTTTCAATGTTGCAGAATGTATTAATATTTAATAAAGAAATTTAAAAAAAAAATAAAAATATATATATATATGTATAAAAATGACAATTTCGTATTACCTATAATCGTAATCTGTAATTTTTATTTGAACTTTTTGGGGCATATTGTTTTCCGCATTGCTTTGTACAGATAACGTTAGCACTAGTCTTTCGCTGGCTTCCTTTAAAATACAATTTTTTGGCAAGCCTTTAAATTAGTTATAGAATTGCCTCCGTCTTCATTGGTGGTTCGGAACACCCAGAGACCACGAAAATGTATTATCACCTCATTGGTCGATAGCGAACATAATTATTCGAAAGGGTGTCAATGCTGGAGGTTTACGGCACAAGGCTTGGCAAAATGATTGACATGTTACTTGATCTAAGTAAAACCTTAAGTTTTAGAAAATATTATTTTTTATTTGCATTAACATTTCCATGTTTGATCCACTGTTCCCATTATTTAATTCGTTCTTTAATCTCATACTATTTTTTAGTTTTTCCAATCTGAATTCAACGACTAAATAGCTAATACTAAGTTTTTCACATAAACTCATTAATAAAATCAATTTTTTCTTTAATATTTAACCGTAAAAGAATTAACATGTTTCTATCAATTCTGTATTTTATATATCCAGTCCTGATTTGTTTACTTGGGTCTGGTTTCTGGTTTGTCATTTCATGTAGTTTATAGGGCTCTAAATCTCTGAGATGTTTTGTGTGAGTAATTGAAGTCATTTTGAAGTTATCACATTTTTTTGTATTTTTCAAATGTTTTTGGCAAAAAGTAAAAGAGGCAAAAATATTTTTTGACCTAGTATCACAAAAATAGTTTCATTAAAATTGGTGACTCCATGTACCTAGCCTCCTCTTTTGAGATATTTAAACTGGTTCACCATCCTTGTTTGATACGTATTTTCCCTATATGTTTTTTTTCGAGCACTAGCACTTTTATATAAATTTTAAAATAAAAAAAATACAAAGAAAAAAGCGATGGAGGGGAATTAAGTAAATTAATTCCTCAATCCACCTCCCACATCAACCGTTCTTAATAGAGAAGAATAACAGGAAATAAAAAATACCCCATTCAAGGAGAGGAATGGATTTCTCTTTAATTTAATAAGTTGAAAAGAAATCCTCCCTCGTGCTTTCAATCCAGTTAGAAAAAAACAAAAAAACAAATAAATTGAATTTAAAAAATAAAGGAATTTAAAGGAAAGTTTTTATTTTTTCAACGATGTCGAATTTAATTAAACAATTTATACTTTATTTATTCTTTAGTCTACAAATATTAAAAAAGAATACGAAATGTAAATAACGAAATAAATAAACAAAAATACTATAAGGACAATTCTACGAAAAAAACATTCTCTATGGAACTCCTACGTCCTATAAAAATCCTTAAAGATCATTAATAATCCACCTCCCTACAACTTCTTTCAAATTATTTACGCATATAGAAAGGAAATTATTAATTAACCGACTTAAAAAAATAAGTTATATCAAACAGGAGAAAAAAAGGAAAAATACCGTTAAGAGAAAATCCTTTCAAAATTCCAAAAGAAAACCACGAGTTATACTTTGAGTAAATATTGAAATATTCAATAAATACATAACTGTATTTATTTTTAATTATTTTTTAGGCTGCTGATGTAATACATTTTTATATCTACCCTATACATTTTATTTTACTTTTATTTTTATTTTTACTTATATATATATATATATATATTATAATATATATATATATATATATATATATCTTTTTTTTCTCTCTTTATAATATTTTATTTTGATCTTATTTGTATGTATTCTTTTGCTATTATTTTATTTATTTATGTTTCTGTATTTAAGATGTGAATGTGTTTTCTGAACTCTATTATAAGCGTCTTTAATTGAGACAGATTGTAATATTTTTCAATAAAAAAGTTTCAAAGTTTTCCCAATACCTACACAGTATTTATGCGTATATTGTTCGGTTATGATGTATTAATTAGTGAAATCATGGTATTTCCTTTATTTACTATCATTTGGGAGACTAATAATTCTACACATTTCATTGTATTTTATTCTGGATTGGCGAATTAAAGTTGATATTTCCTTCATCCCGTAGATCTTATCTTCTGAAATCATTCCTACACCAAACAACTAACTCACAGCTCCTTACTGCACCTAAAATCTACAATTGAAATTATCGGTCCAGGGAAAACAAGATCCTGTGTTTCTGACCTCTACGCCCCTTCCCGCAGAACTAAAAGCTTTGAACGTTCTTTTCTTGTTCACTCCGTTGCCTTTTGGAATTCCCTACCATCCTCATTCGAATCCTTACTTTATATCTCGAACAGACTTTCTCTAATCTTAAAATATTAATATAGGAATAAAATTTTGATGAGAAGTGAATATCAGTTTTAATATTATTATTTTAATTATATTATAGTGAATGCTGCTTTCATTTATATTTATTCTGGAGTTGAATTGATTTTATTGCTTAAATACGTTAATTATTTATAAATATTGGTTGGTGTAGTTTTTGTCCAGCATTTTATTCTAGTTCTCTGAACACATATTTTCATTATTAAGGATCCTAGCCCCACTATAAACGTCATTTTCTATTCTATATATCTTGATTAAAATAGCATGGTATATATTAGGTAGCAGTACAACATTTTTTAACCTTATTTTTATCAAGTGTAAAATATTACAAATATTTTTGAAGGCATGTATACACCGAAAGGCTTCTTCGTATGAAAACAATTATTCACCGGGGCTGTTATTGCTACGCAAATACAGATTCAATTTTCCGCCGTTTGTGTATCAACAAAGACTAACTGATAATTCAAATATCCCGAGAATAGCTGTTATGAACAAGGCAACAAAAACGCCTTCCGAAAACAAACGCGATTCCAGATACGTTTTGTAATGAATGAATGGAAATGATATTACGATTGCGAACGATTGTCCGGATTAAATTAATAATTTCATAAAAGAAACGATTCAATTTATTTGTATGCCGAATATTAATCAATGTATTTTAATACGGAAAACAGAATTTTTTATTTCTTATTTATTGAAATTTTTACGGAAAAACACCTCGTTTTTATTTTCAACGTATTAGAGATAATAACACATGAATTTAGTTATATCCAGCATTAATAAATATTTTGTATTTATCAGGACATCCCATAAGTAATTTAGGTATTTAATTACGATATATAAGGAGGAGGATAAAATAAACATTAAAAAAAACACGCTCAACATGATATATATTTACCATCTTGTTCTACAAAAGTTTTCCATCTTGGAATCAAATTATTTTACACATTTTCTGAAAATTCCTTTGATTTTGAATTAAATAAAGACAACACACTGTTTTCACTTCATCGATTCAGCCCATGTTCCTGCCTCTTAATGCGTTTTGGTGGCTGCGAAGGAGGTGATAAGAAGAGTCCAAAGAATATGGCGTGTGAGGAATAATTTTTCATCCAAAACCCTTCAATCTTTGCAATGTTGATTTTCCAACATGGGGCCTCATATGGTAGAATATGTAGGCATGGAATATATAAAATAAAGTACCTCGTCTAGTAATAAGTAAGAGACTTTTTTTCTCATTTGCCTGTTTCAATCGAAACACCTGATCACAGTTGAAATCTTTCTTGATAATTTGGCGTGCGTTAAGTATTATGTGTTAAAAATGTTATATGCTAATTAGAAGACATCATATTTTCAGATTCAGTATTTTTTTTTAAACAGTTTTAAATATATGTATTAAAAAATCTAAATTGTACTAGGCTGCAAGATGTCGGATGGCCAAATGACCAACGACTTTGGCATAAGATAAAAAAAAAAAATAATAAAAGATTCAGTATTTTCTAAATTAATTAAAACACCTTCTTTGTGTGTTTTGTTTTTCATAACTCTATGTCTCACACGATAATATTAGAATCTGAATTATATTAGGATCCAAATAAATGGATGAAAAGATATTCGTGACACTAAATAAATTTTATATTTCTTCTGTTCATTATTCCTAGAATTGGTGTCTTGAGATTATATTTGTTTTATAAATTAGGCCATTATTCACCAACATTTTATTTATTAGCTATTTTATTAAGATAACGTTTCGACCATCATTAAGGCCATTTTCAAGTCTTATTGAGTCCTCCATTAAATATCCATTATTAAGTATCGTATCAATTTTTCAGAGAGAATTAATACGATACTTAATAATGGATATTTAATGGAGGACTCAATAAGACTTGAAAATGGCCCTAGTGATGGTTGAAACGTTGTCTTAATAAAATAACTAATAAATAAAATGTTGGTGAATAATGGCCTAATTCATATAATACATTTTATAATTTTTTGTAAGAAATTGCCCATTAACTTATTCATTCAAGAGTTATAAAAAAAATACTACATCAGGTACAGGTTTACAATAAAAAATCAATAATTTTATATGCAAATTATATTTATTTACTGTTTTTTCTTCTAATGTTCATCAGAAAAATTAAAATTTATGACTTCTGCAAAGTCAACTTTTACAGTATTTACCAAAATGACGTATCATATTTTGATAACTTTCTTAAGATATGTGGGATAAGGAGTAACAAAAAAAAATATGAAATTTGAAAAATAGAGGTTTATTGTTAAGAATTTCAAAATATATTATTAAAAAAAACATAAAGCTTGAAAAGTGACATAAGGTTATTATGATATAAATGGAAAAATCCACGGGTCTCCAACTATTAAAATAAATACTGGAGACTCGTGGTTTTGTAGTATAAATTTTTCCATTTATACCATTTCAAAACATAGTTGTTTCATTTGGATGAATTCGTTTAGTTTATATTGAAGTGAGTGCGAAGAGTTGGTTGACTGATCCGTTGAATTAGACGTCTTTTACTTAGTGAGCAGCGACTTGGTAATAGTTGTAGGGGAACTGAAATTCGAAAAAAAAATATATGTATATATATATTGACAATAAATAAGATATACTTAAAAATAATTTATAGAATAAAAATTCTTACGCCTGAAAATGGGAATTTATTTTGATAATTCTGCCCCTGGAACGGGTATACATATGGACCCTGGAACTGGTATGGGTACTGTCCTTGGTATTGGAATGGGTACTGTCCTTGGTATTGGAATGGAAATTGTCCACGGTATTGGTATGGGTATTGACCTTGGTATTGGTATGGGTATTGTCCTTGGTATTGGTATGGATATTGTCCTTGGTATTGGTATGGGTATTGACCTTGGTATTGATAGGGGTACTGTCCTTGGTATTGATATGGGTATCCTTGGTATTGGTATGGTCCTTGGAATTGGGTAGGATAGAGACCCTGATTATATCCGTACTGTTGTGGGTAGTTTTCAAAGCTGTTCTGTGGACCATTCTCGTTTTGCTCGAACTAGAAATACAAAAATATTTATTATATGAAACTAACGAAATATTCTTACTAAATGTTTACCAAAACATATGCTTCAAATTGTTTTACCTCCGCATTTGGTTCACTTGCTGCTGCTAAGGCCAATAAGGCTGCCAGACACAAAGTTTTAAAAAACATTTTTCCTAAAAAAAAAAAAAATGTATATATATAAAGTGCATAAATTAAAACACATTATTTACTAATAATAAATCCTAATTTAAAATAATAAATCCCTTGTTAAAATAATATAGCAAAAAAAAATATTAAGAGAAACATTTTTATTTATGCTGAATTTAAAAAGAACATATACATAAAAAAATATATATTCAGATTAATTAGGCTTATAAAATAAAAGAATATCGTAAAAATTAAGTTGAAACTCACTGAATATTAATTATTTGAGGTGAAGTACTCAAACTGTAACGAACTAAAAATTCAACGCCTTTTATATGAGTTGATTGCGGTTATCAATTTTTTTTTTCAGGAACAAACAAATCCTATCAGTGGAGGTAATAAGCAATTATCCTTTTTTTTATCCCTGCTTAATTAATTATGAAGCGTGACAAAAATGATTTAGAGATTTTTTTTTCCACCATGCATAAACATCGTTAAATGTGTGGAAAATTCCCGAAATTTTTTCTTTATTTACATTTTCTTCGAAGCTTTTTCATTTTTCGGTTTATGTTTAAGTAATAATCGTGTATATGTATTTAAATAAATATGTACGTATTAATACCAATTTATAATCCCAACCACGCAGTGCATATAAAAAGTATAAATGTATTTAAATAAATTCATTAAGGCCTTTCTAATCTCTTTTTATTTTATTTTCAGTTCATTTGTAAGAAAGAAATTCTTTTAATACCTTGGACATTTTTAATATTTATTTGATATATAAAATCAATTTATGTGTCACGTTATGACTGGAAGCTACTCATAACTGATAATATACTGATTTTCTTATTATACTCGTCAATAATAAATTACAATGATTTATTTTAAATACTGTTTTTAATAAACTTTTTGCTTTTCAGAAAAGTCTTAAACTCTTTAATCAGTTAAGATAAAATGGGAATCTTTGACCTTTTTTTTCATTTATATATTTGAAACTGAAATATTGGTATTAATTATTTTTTATTTTCAAATTTTACTACCGAATTACTCAAAGGTGCATAAGAATAGCAATCGATCTATCGATCTAGCAATCGATAGAAGGATGATCTGGGAAAATATATTTTTAAAATAATTTAAGGTATGTGCTTTAGACTACACGATAGAAGTGAAAACATTAACAAGGCGAGATAAATAATATGAAATAAATATTATAAATAATAGTTCATCATAAATGGAATAAAGTCTGAAAAATGCTCTCGCTTACATTATGTAGGTCCGATTTTTTGTTTTTGAGATATTTGAATCCATATCTTCAATAAAACTGGTTATCATTTGGTTTTCGACACTATTTTTTCCCTTTTCGCTTCTCTAACACAGCGTCAAATTAAGATACAATTTTGAATAAAAGAGGATGAAATGGTGAACATTTCTCCTTCTTACAGTATGCACGTCCGATTTTTGGTTTCTGAGATATTTTAATCCGTATCTTCAATGAAACTTGTTATAATTTAGTTTTCGAATCCAGCCGACTTAAAACGAGAGTTACACACCGGAAATCTGATGGCTCAATCTATTTACTCTCAACAGAAACTTGCAATGCGCGTCTAAAGAAGCTTTCGCATAAAAAATGATCGAAATTACTGAACTCTCATTTTTCTAAATTATCGCAACTAAAACTTAGACAGAAACTAAATATATATGCATAGTGACTTAAATGCATATGGAGAAACCACAATATTTTTCATCGATGATTTTGAGACTGACAGCAGACACGAAAAAAAAAGAATAACAACAATTTTTACCAACTTATAACATCTTGAAATCAATTAACACGTATGTATACCTTACCCCTTTTTCAACAAAAACTGCACTGACATAACAACGGACTTATCAACGAAATAGCAACAGTTGAGTTTCCCATACAGGGTGATTAAAAAAGAGCTGTATGAGAAACCTCCTGTCAAAACCGGGGAGAGATATTTCTGGTTACGATACTCCCTTAAGCCTGAATTTCCATTATCGTACTCTTTCAGCATATTTGTTTATTTTCACTTCTGTGATAGATGTGGATAGTCAAATGAATAAGAAAAAAATGTATTTAACCATAAGTTTTAGACGTCTGAAGAATTCCTTTTTTGATATACAGTTACTTTAACCAAACAATAAAGACAATATCATATATTTTTTACTACCCCATGAAAAGGATCTACTTTACCTTAGACGTATAATTAATAAGGATTGAACAAAGAAGACCGTAAAAAAAAAACTTTTCCAATAACAAAGTTTTTAAAGATTTATGTGTGGCTGGGGACCATTACTTAGTTTATTATTGTTTTAATATCATGCGATATTATTAGATAATTTGATTCATTACTATAATAATTAATTTTTTCAAATAACTTATATTAAGCTCATATTCAAGCTCCATATTTTTCTTGCAGTTGAAAAACTTTACTTTGATAACCATGCCAACCTTCACATAGATACATATTTAAACGAAAATTTTCCAAAGCTTTTGAAAGAAAAAAAAAAAACGAAATCAACGCTCCGTTATCAGAGAGAATTGGTTCAGCTAATGCATTTCTCAAGAGAATACTTTTAATCAAACGAGAAATACATGACCCTTCTTGGATTAACAAACCGCCTAAAATAATCCTAGGCCTAACACGGTTACAACTACACCAATCGATTGTTCTACATATCATGGGTGATAAATACTCAGGACGCATGTGGGTCATCTTCAGTGTTCGAACCACGTCCTGATGATGATCCCCATATTTGGATTGAAACGTCGGCACTAATAAAAACCTAATAATGACTGCGTCCTGAATATTTATCACCCATAATAGTTAAAAAAGTTTCTTCATTTTGTTTAGTTTTTTTGGAAGATAAATTAAAGGTAACAATATAAACAAATTCTTCAGTTTTAAAGCCTAAGTAATTATTAGGTAATTTTGGACTGTTAAGATCAGGATTTTTCTGGAATTTGATCCAAAGAAAGGTGAAAATTAAAAAAATATTTTTTTTTTCGAAATTATACATTTTTTTTCTTTGTTCCTGGGAGGCAGAGGACCTGATACATGGGCCTAATATTTTTTGACCTAATATCACCAAAAAAAAAAAATCATTGAAATCGATGACCCCACCTCCGTAACCTATTTCCTTGTTTAAAAAAAGACTTGGAACATATATACCAACTTGGAACATATATACGAAATTAAAAAGACAAGAACTGACTAGACAATATAACCAAATCTTACATCTTTTGGACTACACGATCTACGACACTATACTGAGACCAATTTGGACATAAAGGGTAGAATTTTGAAGTACGGCAAAACAAAATACAAAAAAAACAATAAAAAATTTAACGAAAAATTGTTAGCGCACCTTGGCATATTTCAAATAACACTATACATAACGACTTAAACAGATCAACAGTGAAATCTTACATCCACGAAACATGTACAATATTTTATTCTTTAATTCTAAATCACTACAATCCACTAGTTCTTTCTATCTGCTCCCCGTTACCTGATCGACGCAGATTAAAAAGAAAATTGCCAAAAGACCTACTCCTTCGATAATAACAAAATGAAAGCAAATTCGCAGTAAAGGACTAATACATTAAATTTTCTATATGTATTATTCAATAAACTAGCAGTTCTAGCGGTATATATATATATATATATATTTTTTTTTTATCAGGTACTAACAACATAGATGTTTTGCTCCTAAAACATCCAACCGCTAATCCAGGCATCCAGTTCTTCGTCAGACGGGACGCTACCGACATAGTAGAAGATCCGTTATCTCGTCACGCCCCAGTATTAGGCCTCTAGCACAAGAATGGGAAGAAAACGGATATATGTTGAATAGCCGGAGACGACATAAGCCTCTTTAATTCGGCTGGAGTGAGATGTAAGTGCTTTCTAGCCGCTAGTTATGTGAACAAGCTTTGTATAGAGGGCGGGAAAGCTCTCCCGTCCCTGTACTGCCGCTCTGTGTTGTGCAAGCTCATGTCCATGTAACCCATTCTATATTATAATTCGCCCTCCTACACCTTTCACACTGTCCACTTAACTTCCCCAGTGATCTATGACCGCTCTTGAGCTTTTCCAGCGTTTTATTTTTTTTTATCCTCCCTTCGGCTATACACGAAATCTAAAAACACCTTTTCGGGGGGATTGCTAACATGTTGAAACCGACTATTTTCTCAGTTTAAAGTTCACTTATGACGAAAAACCTTCCGTCAATAATGTTTCAGGTATTGGAGAACATTGGTCCGAAACTGGCGCTTTTTTTTTATATATATTTTTTTTAAATAGATGTAAACTCATTCTTATGATGACATAACCGATACATGATGTATAGAACGTATCTAATAATGTAATATACTAATAAGGTATAGAGAAAGCCCCCCCCCTGCACCAAGTCTTAATACAAATTCAAAGACATTATAATTAAATCTCTCAATTGTCATTAAGATGGATAGACAAATACAGGGTTGGTTCTATTTTGTTAAATGTTGAATTATGGTTATAAATTAAATGAAAGCTTTTTTTCTGTTTTGTTGAATTTATATTCGTTTTGACATTGAAAATTTGAAGGATGAGGCTGAATAACAATTTGAAGATTATTGTTTTAAATGTTATTTTATATCTTAAGGTTAATAACCTTAATATGCTTTTAAAATACAGGCTATTACAATCTGTATTGGCATTATATTTAATTATGTTTGTGTAGCTGCTGTTTACTTAAATCTGTTTCGCATACTGAAACGAAGTTGACTAAATAATTATACTTTTGATTTTTTTCGCCAGATGTAAAATTATCCTTTCACTGACCTTAATGATAAATAAAATTAATAAATACAATCAAATTATGCGGTTTAATATTCATAAACCAATACGATAGTGATCATTTTAAAATGATTTATATTAAATGCATGCTATATAAATTTTTTTAAAGATGAGTAAACATTAGATAAGTATAATATTACACTTCCACATTTTTAAAATAATATAAATTTTTAGACATTGATGGGCTAGAAATAAATAAGCATAGAGCAGAAAACTTATGTAAAAATTGTTTGCATAAAAGCAAAATTATTGTTGCTTGTCTAGTTCAATAAAATATTTCCGAACTAGTTATCGTCATAAATGTTAACAAAAAGTATCGGAAATCTGAATATATTTTTAAATAAACAAATTAATCATACTTATCGAACCGTGCACTTAAAAAGACTAGAAATGTTTTTTTATATGTTTAAAACTTTAAATTTTAGTAAATGCAGTTTTTGTTGCTGTCCTTAGGATCTTCCGGTAATTCTAAAATGTTTTACTTCCTCTAAACTTTGTCATATACAACCTCCGAATAAGTATAGTATTTAAAATCCTTGATTATATCTACTTAAAATAAGTTTTACAAAGTTATTACTTACTTTATTTTAATTTTACTCAGTTTCAATTTATTATTGTATTTCTTTTTTATTTTACTTTATTTAAATATTTTTTTTTATTTTCATTTTGTATGTAAATATTGTATGAATGAATGCTTGTAGCCCTGATACTTGTTGTTGCCCTTAAATGCGACAGATTGTATTATTACTCAATGGATTGGTTACAGAAAGTTAAAATAAGTAAAACCATCATGATTTTGGACCGACGGTATATTGAGACGCCTCAGTTACCAGCTAAGCAGTTCAAGTTGTACAATCGTAGTATTATTAAAAAAAATAATGGTAATAATAATAATAATTCTGTAAGCATTTTTCTAAAGGACTCAGGAAATTACCATAACTACAAGCTCTAATCATTGTTTCGATCACTCTCTTCTTAGCTTAGTACTGTTCACTAGTGGATCTAGGATTTAATTTTTTTTTGGGGGGGGTCTCAGCCCGAAGGATTTTTTTCCATATATATAACGATATTTAATTTGAAAAAAAGAAGAAAGAAACTAACTATCCATATGACATGGTCTCTTAGTGATTCTAAAATCCTATTAAATGTAATTACACGGACAATAATAGTTTAAGAGATAGTTTTTAATATATATTTTTTTTTTATGAAACATGGTTGTATTTTACCATTTTGGGGGGGAGTGATTCAGCCCGAAATCCCTCTCCCCCCGCAGATCCGCCTGGTACTGTTTCACGAGCCTTATATTACACCAAAAGAGCCATCACTTGCAGGTTGGATAGGTTGGATTGATTGGGAATTCTACGTTTTCAATCCCAATGCCTGCCAAGAACGATGTTGAACACGAAGAAGCAGTTGAAAAATCTACAGTCTGATTTTTTATTAATTTACTGTTTAGTTCAGTAGAATTGTATGTTAATTTATTTATTTTCAGATTTTCTTTATTTAATAGAAGCCCGACGGACATGGTACTGTACATACTTCAAAGAATGGTTAGATTATCAATCTTTCAAGAGCTAAGAATTTTTTTAAAACAATATTACTAAGATATATTGTTTAAACACGCTGACACATGGGTCACTTTTATGTTAATATTAAAAAACAACAAATCATTTACATAATGGTCGGTTTTTTTGTGGCAATATCTGCTGAACCTTAAGCAAGAGAAATAGGACATATAAACTAAGCTCGTGCGGATCTTACACACGTCGGTCTCGGCAACCAACAGCCAACTGAAATCTCCAATCCAATCCCGACAATAAAAAAAATAGGTCATGGATCTACGTCCGGTCAGGAAAAAAAACGATCAATCAAACTATATTTTTTATATGAGAAGGAGTTATTTTATAATATTATTTCACAAAAATCGTATTTATTTTTTATTTTTTCAAAAACCTGCGAAATAATAAAAGTAAAAATTGCAATAGTGGAAATAAAAATAGCACATGTTACATAGGACAAACAAAACAGAACATAAAAATAGAACTAACCAACATAGAAGTAATTGTAATTCCAAAATAAAAAAATAGAACACAAGTACTGGCTAAAATACTAATAAGTGAAAAAAACAGCTTCAAAAAAAAAGTTTTAGAATCTATTTACATTTCCAAAAATTTAGACACAGTATGTAATTTCCAAGCTGATACAAAAGGATTAAGCAGCACATGTGCTAATATAATCACAAATTTGAAATTTTAATTGAAAACTTTTTTAATAACAACATTTAATAAGTAAGCAGTATAAAGAAATATATAACAATGTGCAAACTCCCAACCACACTTATAATTCAATTAGACTTTGGACTATATGCAAAAAGCATGGTTGAATAAAGTAGGGAAGTTTTAAAATATAAATTAATTTATATATGTTGATCTTACCTTGATATTTATGTATTTGAATAAAAAAGCAACCTCATTCTATTTAGTTGTATTGTTAATTTACAATTTAACTGGTAGATTTTATTACAATTTTTTTTAAAAGATTACTTAACCTAATTATAGTTATAATTTATAGAATATTTAATTAAATAGGACTAATACCACCTTCATAGAGTGCAGAATTACATTAAAATATAAAATTAATGGTGTTTATATTATAGATGGCTTGAAGATGGCTTACTGGCCGAAACGTAGATATGAAAATTAAAACAAATATGGTGAAAAAATAAACAGAGCCTTATTTTATAATATTAAAAAATTTTCACCAAAAACAAGCACATATGGAATACAATTTTAATTTTCAGTTAATGATCATTTAATAAAGATATCTGGATTTTTTTCATTTTACTAACAACTAGTGACCGAATTTTCATGCAAAAAATAAGCTAAATATGTACTGTGCATCAAACTACACAAATCGTATTACATATGTCTATTTGTAAAAAAATATAATAATTTTTTTTTTTTTTACACTTTATTCAGAAATATTACAATTTTTCACAGTTAAGGACACTTATAATAGAGTTCAGAGATTGCATTCATACCGTATATACAAAAATATAAATAAATAAAGTAATAACAAAAGAATAAGAAGAAAGAACAAAAGAGTAAAGAAAAAAAATATATATACACATAAGTAAATAAAAATAGAAATAAAAGTAAAACAAACACCTTATATAAAACATACATATACATTATTTACAATTTGCCAGGTGATCTCCGAACCAATCCTGTCCCCTCCACATGTGGAGGGAAAAGGGAGGCTTAGGAGATCCCTACGCTTCTCCCTCAGCCACTTCACTGGTATTTTAAACCAGCGGAGGATGAGTAAGAGCGCTACAGCCACAGACACTCATGACTTGAGTGGAGAATCTGGCCATTGCTAGAACTCCAAAATATCCATATTTACAAAAGGTCTCGTGGCCACTGCCGCTTTAACCTACGAAGGGGATTGTAGGGATGGGTGGTGCTTGATAGGGATTGTACAACGGGATTTGGGTGATGAGAAAGGTTCTGGTGAAATTTGGAAAATTTGGCTGGGATAAGATCAAGAATAAATGGGATATTAAGGTCATGATGTAGGGTTTTATTGGTTACATAGAAGGGAGCATTGACTATTGTACGGAGGACTTTAGACTGAAAGGATTGAATGCGTTTGATGTTAGAAAATTTGGCTGTTCCCCATAGTTCTAGTCCGTAAGTCCAGATGGGTTTCAGTATTGTCTTGTAGATCAGTAATTTGTTTTCACCAGAAAGTTTAGATTTTCTATTCAGTAGTCTATATAGCTGGCCATATCGTCTGTTAAGTTCCTGTCTTTTAAGTCGAGTATGTGGATTCCATGTTAGTCGTCTGTCTAAGAGAAAGCCAAGATACCGGACTGTATCTGAGAAAGGAAGCTGGATGGAGTTAAAATAAACTGGTGGGCAGGTATTACGCCGA